ACACCTCCACCCAGGAAGACCCTCCAGCCCCACCAAATGAAGGACTATGCACATCAACACTCAATACTCATGTTTCTGTAGTTAACAGTACTTAATGTGGTACATATTTTAATATAAACATGAGAGAAATCTTTAAAAACTAAGAAAACAATAAACAAAGGATCTTCTCTCCACAGCTCTTACCCCATTACTGGGGTGGTGGGATGGAGGCAGGAGGTAGTACAGGAGGGGCCGTGGGGGCTGTGTGTTTAGTGGGGAAAAGAAGACTCTGGAAGTGGGGACGGCAAGTGGGTGTGGGGTGCTGTACACTTGGCTCCAGGAGGCCTGGGTAGGGTGTGGGGACAGGCAGGTCAGAAGCATGGGTGTGGATGGCGAGGATAGGCCTCAAACAGCTAACTGGGACCTTTGCTTCTGCACAAGCTCAGCAAGGCATGGACTTTGGATGCATCTGGGGGGTCAGCTGGGGTGTGTGCTGTTCCAGTGGGAGTGAACAGCTCAGTTCTGAGCACTATGCAGATCAGTGGGAAGGAGCTCACACCTGCCCACCACACGTGGGCCATCACTGCAAACTGAGGTGCCCCCACAGCAAGAAGGGTGACAAAGGTCCCTGGTACTTCTCTTCCCGATACCAACACTCCAACCAGGCTCTCCTACCTGCCTCCTCCTGGAGGTGGGTGGCTGAAGGATGAACCTATTACTAGAAAGTGGTGATGGGGGTGGGGGTGGGCAGGCTCTACTTTCCTGAGGACTTGGGGGCTGACCCCCTCCAGGAAGCAGCCCACCCAGAAGCATGTCTTGGGGTCTTGGGGCACAGTGGCCAGACTCTCTGGGTGGATCCAGCTGGGATGGAGCTTGAGGGCCTGGAGCCCATCACCCCAGGCTGTGAGACGTGCTGGACATCAGTCCAAGATGGTCTTGAAGTCTGTGGTCTGGGCTGGGTCAGCTGCAGCCTCCAGAGTGGCAAGTGTTGCCTTTGGGAGCTGCCGGCACAGCTGAACTTGAGCTGCAAGATGATTGAGATCAGACCTCCTCCCAGAAGAAACCCGAGAATGTACTTCCTATCAGCCTCGTGGACCCACTGAGGGGCCGGGAAGAGATGGGTTGTGTGCTGAGTGCCTACTGTGTGCAGGACAGGCTCCAGGTACTGGGAACCTCAGCAAGAGACAATACCCGCATGGCTGAAAACACATGGACCAGTAAGGATGTCAGAGCATGGCAGAAGGGGAAGTGCAGCCAAGACACAGGCCAGGGGTGGGAGGAAGGGCACGCAGATCAGAGGGGGCTGGAGAAGAGAGGGAGGGAGGAGACGCAGTTCCCGAGGGAAATGTCAGCCTTGGAGGTGAGGAGTGGAGAGGTGGAGTGACTGAGTGGGCATGCCAGGTGCCCCAGGTGAGGGAGCCGTGACCCTTGAGTCACCCGTACCCCATCACCTGGGGGTTCCTATTCCCACCACCTGTTACTCAAACACAGAAGGGCTGACACTTGCTCACTTAAGGACAAGGACAGGCCCTGCACCTGCACAAAGGGGTGCCTTGGGGCTCAGCACACTCTGCCCAAGCTTACCAGCCTGGAGTGCTCCCAGGAGACACCTGTAGGTGGTGCTGTGACAAGACAGCTTCAGCAGGAAGGCATGGAGGCACAGCCACCTAGCGGCTTCAGAAGGAAATGGGCCTGCAGCGCCCTTGGTCCCCAGCAACATCCCTGGGGAAGAACACATGAAGAGGCTGCCATTTGTCCCTGCCCCAACGTTCCTCCCAGGAGAGACTGTGTGCTCCAGTACAGACACCTAGGGTCCCTGCCAAGCTGAGTGCAGAAACAGGCTCGAGGAGCAGGGGACAAATAGGCAACTTCATTTCAGGGGCAGCCCCAACACAAGTACCACGGAATTCTGACAACTGAAATGTTTTCAACTTCTTCAAACAAACTTCTACAAAACAGAAAATAACAGAAAGCAAAGTCTGTTAATCTCAGGACCATGAAGACATATAACCTGAACTCAGACTGATCATGACCCTGCATGACAAGGCTGTGGGGAGTGGAGATGGGGTGAGTGGCTCATATGGGTGTCCCTCACTTTCCTCCTCTGAAACTGGCAGGGGGCTCAGGACCCAGCTTCCTCCTGACTACTGGCCTAGGTTTGTATAAATGCCCCCTGAGCATGAGAGAGGAGGCCCAACTGGGAGAAGGCAGGGTGATCCAGGGAACGCCCTCAGCCAGTTCCCAAGTGTCCCATCACATTCCAATCAGGAAGAACGTCTGCCCACAGAGCAGAGGGTGGGCGAGATGAGGCCAGCAAGTGGTTAGCAAGTTAAAGCATACTGTGAGGTGTTGAGAGTCCAACTCTCTGTCTCCTGCCTCCACTACACCCAGGCCTGTGCTGCTCCAGCCGCAGGTGCTAATGGAGCACATGGCAGCTTCATGCAGCTCCATGCAGGAATTGTGTGGTGAGCATCTGGTGTTCCCCAGCACCACACGTCACCCCAGTCCTGGGTCACTTGCACGCACCTGTGTTCTTGGCTTTCAGAAAGGCGTAGCAGCGAGATGCAGTGTCAGAGATGACATGGAGGAAGAACGAGGGGTTCTTCCGAATGTGCTGATTAAATGGGAGCTGGAGCACACAGGCGTGAAACCTGAGGAAGATCAGGTTTATCAGAGGAAATTTCCCTGGCTTCAATGTGTATGTGTGTCTACAGGTGCACATGTACATGTATATTCAACCTGTTTATACATGTGTGCGTGTGCACAAGTACCCATATGTGCACGTGACCACATGACAAGCCCCTCTCCAGGTACCTTATGCTCCTGATCTCACCAACTCCCTGGGCCTCTTCTGGAACAACATGCATGTGTGTCCATCCAGTCAGCAATATGACCCCTCACTCACACTCAGTCTGTTGAGGTGGAGGTATCTTTCCCTCTTATGGCCATGAGAGGGGAGCCAAGCCTAGAAGGGGACCACATTCTGCAGGTGGAGGACCTTCTCCCAAGGGAGGCATGGTGTTCAATGCAGAGTAGGGAGAGGCCTCCACTAGTGGATATTACATCTGCCAACAACTCCAGCCTGAAGCCCATGCTTGTCCAAGAAGAGCTAAGCTTGGCAGGTCCCAGCCAGCCAGTGTCTCCCCGCTACCTGGGAGATGGCCGAGGACCCCTCATCCACACCATGGCTTACAGCCACTGGCTGACTTCGGGCAGAACGCTTTCTCCATGACAGATGGGAAGATAGCTCCTCCCTGCACTGCCTGGTGGCAGGTCTCCCCTGGTAACCACTGAGCAAATACTGGCTTTGTGTCCTGAGGCCAGACGGGCAGGTAGCCAGGTTAATGCCCATCTTCCTGAAGGAACAGCACAACCTGACAGTGGCTCCAGTTACCCACCAGTTCTCAGTTCTGCCCCAGTTCTCAGCAGGTGGCTGCCAAACTCCTGGGGACAGGAAATGTTCTGGAAGCACAGCTAGGCCTCAGCACACACAATGAGTGGGACGGGAGTGGTGGCTGAACTGTTTGGGAGCCATATACCAGAGCCCCTTCTGGGGGCACTGGAGTGTTTGTGGCCACAGATGGTCATCTGTACCCAGCTGGATCCTCTGCTCTCTGGGATCCTCCCCCCTAGGGCATCTGCCTCCCACAACCACATGTGGGCTGCCTTTCTCGCGCTCCGCAGCTCTTCTCCTACGACCTCCTCCCGCAGCAGGATGAGTCAGCCCGCAGGCATGCAAGGACACCCAGGCCTTGCTGGCCTCCTACCACCAGCTGGTGACCAGCAACAGGACCTCCAACAAAGCACAGCCTCCGTGGATGCGCACAAAGAGGCAGCCTCTGCCACTGAAAATGCTTTCTCATAAACTGAAGGTTTCGATGTGAAGGTCTGGGAACCAGGGAATGGGTGCTATCCCAGGCCGCAGGAAAGTGGGGCCCAGGCGGTGTGTGGCTCTGTGCCCCCGTCCTGTGGTGGCGCAGCCAATGAGCCCACCTGTAGGCCTGCAGCAGGAATATCTTGTAAACGTTTGTGTAAACGGTCTGAAGGCTGTTCACCTGGAGCCACAAGGAAAGGAAATGGAAATATGTCTGAAATTTAAATTTCTTTTGCTTTATCACCAGCTCAAATGAAGTAAAAAAGAGGACCACTGTCTCTTCAGTGACATCCCACCAGGTCCTCACCAGTGACCCCTCACTGTCTGGACTCTGCTGGGGCTGCCTAAGGGAACCAGGCAGGAAGGGACAAGGAGACAAGCACCCAGGCCAGCCAGGATGACGTCTTGGGCCCCCAGGCTCTACAGCCTGAGCCCACCGAGGCCTCAGAGCCCCATACTGCAAGGGGGAGCCCCGGGGCTGAGAAAGATGAGGCCTGAGGGGGGATAAAAGGGGCTCTCACACACACAGGGGCACATATGCACACTCACGCATGCATGCACACATTCACATGTACACACTCACACATGCACACATGTGTATATCCATATGCATACACACCCATGCATTCACACTCACACACGTGCATGCTCACTCACGCATGCATGCACATCCACACACACACACATCTGCACACTTAAACACACAAAAGGACCTATAAAACAATTCCCACAGGTAGACTGAGCAGCAGGTCTTCCGAGCTCTGAAGTCGGCTGGCTGCAGGGCTCACCTGCTGGCTGCATGCTCACCTGCAGATCCAGAAGCAGACTGTGACACTTCAGCCTTAACACCGCAAAGAGCTTTCGACGCATGCTCCTCCCGGCCTTGAAGCCCTGGCTGAAGGTGAGACTTGCTCTGATCGAGGTGTGGGCATAACTGTAACACAAAGGGGGTGTTCCATGACACGCCTGTCCACCTCACACCATCACACAGCCTGTGCCCCCTGCTGTCAATACATGCTCTGATCACACCCCACACACATGAGTCTGTCCCCGAAACCTGTGGGCTTCGCCCAGAAGAGGGCACCCCACCACCATCCTCTCAGTACAACCCAGCTGACACCCAACAGTCATTCGATGGGAAACATGGGGATAGAGCACGGACAGGGCCCCGCTCACCACTGCCGGTAGCTCCGGCATTCCCACCATGTATTTCCCTGCACGGAACTATCCAAAGACAGACACCTGACATGTATGCTTTGTCAGCTTTAAACACTCTTATCTTGAAATTCATTTATTTCCCATTTACTAAATAGTCTTTAAAAACAATTTTAATGGCAGAATGTTTCTTGTTGGTGTTATGTACTATCTCAGCCATCTATTTAGGTTATTTCATTGCTGTGGCAAGTTGTGCTACCCTGAACATTTAAAAATGGTCAAATAAAATCTTTGACGATGTCTCTGATTTTTTTCTTTGATTTCTAGAATTGAAATTACTGGAAAAATGTTTTAACAATTCAAGAACTTTGATATAAATTTACAGCTTTCTAAAAAAGTGATTTCTGTTTGCCCCACTCTAAGAAACACACAAACATGCCCTCACCCCAGCTCCAGTGCTCAGTGATAGTTGTGGTGCAGGGGACCGTCAGAGTGAGGGACCAGGACCTCGGTGCCGTTTTGGCAGAGTTGGGCCTAGAGGCGGGGGAGCCAGGGAAGTCTAAGCACAGAGTTCTCAGGATGAGGGAAAATCAAGCAGACAAAGCTGGGGGGCCGGGGCTGGGCAGGGAGTGGGGTCAGGACAGGAAGCATAGGGGACGGCTCAGTGAGGCCACAGACAGGTGACTCATCCGGACTGCCCATAGAAAGTGCCTGTGCCTGCCTCTTCCCTTTCCAAGCAAATTCCCAAAGAGCCTCTTGAAAACAGAAGCAAGTGCAGGCACAGAGTATTCAAGCAGAAGAGCTAGAATTCCCAGCACAAGGAAAGGGAGCGCCCGCCCTCCACCAGTGATTTGGAATCTGTACTTTTATTCATAAAACGGTAGGTTCCTGTATCTGTGTTCACCCGAGTCAGTTCACCGTAGGCCTGAGGCTGCGCTGCATGCAAGCTCTGAGGTTTGGGAGAAACAGGCTGTTAGGGCTGAACTGTGTCCCCCAAATTCATGTTAAAGCCCTCTCCCCATGGGACTGTGTTTGGGAACAGGGCTTTTAAGAAGGTAACTGAGGTTAAATGAGATCATTAGGGTGGGCCCTAATCCAATGTGACTGGTGTCCTTCTAAGAAGAGAGAGACACCAGAGATGCTCAAATGCAGAGGGATGGCCATGTGAGAACACAGGGTAGATGGCGGTCTATTTGTCAAGGAGGGGCCTCAGGACAAATAAGCCAGTCCACACCTGCATCTCGGATTTCTGGTCTCCAAGACTGGGAGAGAATGTCTGTGGTTTAAGCTGTCCCATCTGTGGTACCTTTTATGGCAGCCTGAACTAAGGCAGGGACCCACGGTATCGTGTACAGAGCAGGCCCATGTGCCATAAGCCTGCTTCCCTGGCAGATCAAAAGTGACTATGAAGCCATGACGTCCAGTGAGGCTGTGGATGGGCACTGAAGTACATGCCCTCACTGCAGAGACTCATGTCCAGCAGGACCTGAAATCTCTGGGTTCAGATCTATAGCACTTCCCTACATGCTGGGGTCCCCGAGTCTGCTGTACAATTTCCTTTTACCAAAAATACCCCAGAAAACTGCTCACCTGGTGAGTCCCCTCACCCCCACAGAATGATATGCTCCTGCTCTGAAGGGGGAGATGGCACCTCAGCCTCTGACCTTTTGAGACCATAGCCACCTGTTACACACAGAAGCAGGAATGAGACTGGACCAGCCCATGTGCACCTGGCCAGGCATACTTACCTGGAGTAGTCGCAGAACACCTCCAGGGTCTGTGTGTCCAACAGCAAGCCACACCAGGGGAACAGGCAGTGGGCTGGCAGCTGCAGGGGGGCCGCGCCGCCCATGGCATCGTCTTCCATGGGGAAGTTTACTACTGTCTTCTGCAAGTTCGCCTTGCAGCCGTACTCGGGCACCCCCTTGAACAGGGTCCTAAAGCAGAGGATTCACATCAGCCACCGAGAGGAGAGGGACGCCACCCAGGATCTCAGAAGCACTCCCTTGACGAGAGGTAAAACCCCAAGAGGCAGTGGGGAGCAAGGGCTGGCACTGAAGGGAGGTCACAGAAGCCCTGTTGGCCTACAGGTGCTGGTTTCCAAAGGCTTTGGATGTCTGGTACTAATGATCACAGAACAGGGTGGCTGCCAGGAAGGGAAGAGGCCGGCAGCAGGGGAGGGGAACATGAGGCTGAATCCTGAAGGCCAAGTGGATGCCATGTGACCCTGTTCACAGGTAAGTTAGGTGAGCAATAAGCTCAGGCTCCAGGCTGAGAACTGAGACAGGCGAGGTGGGAGGGCAGGCAGGGCCTATGGATGACATACATCCTCTCTGCAACGGCCAGTTGTGTCCACTCAGAGGCCACAGTCCCCAGGTGTGCTGAGGTATTTGTAGATGAGGTCAACATCTGCAATTAGTTAACTTTAAATGAGGTTACCTTCCATAGTGGGGTTGGCGTACCCATCAGTGGAAGGGTCCAAGAGCAGAACCAGGGTGGTCCTGAGAGGGTAGAGTCCTCCTGTGGACAGCGGCCTGAGCTCCTGCCCTTCCTGCTGCTTCCCCTTGGATTTCAGGCTTGGCCCACCATCACATGGGCCGACTCCTTGCAATCTCTGTATATGTCCCCAGTGGTCCAGCTCCTGGGTGGGACCCCAATGTACACACTCTGAGCCACCTCCCTGCCCAACACCCTCAGAGCAGCGGTGTCCCCCAGACGTTTCACGATGGAGGCCATGCTTCCTGTCTGTGCTGTGCCCTCTGGCACCCACTGGCCACATGTGGTTACTGATGTCTTTGAAGGTGACTAGTGCCCAGGGTCCTGGATTTATCATGTGATCGAACCTTGATAAATTTACATTTGCATGTCATCCTGTGTGGGGCTACTGTGTGGGGCAGTGAGGCCCAGTGCATCCCAGCAATTCTGTGCACCCTCTGAGCCCTGAGGATCCCTCAGGGGCAGACACGGGGAATGGGGACACCACCCAGACGGGTTCTCCAAAGACAACCCTGTGACCAAAGCAAACTGCTTCTTGGGCAGTGACACTTCTGAGTTTGGTTCTATCACTTTCTCCTTCCTTGGAAAACCACACTGTGAAACAAGCCCTAGAGGCAAGGATCCCTGTCTGTATGATTTTAGTTTGAACAAAATGAACTTTAAGACCAACACTCCAAGTGATCCCCACGCCTCGTAACACCGTCACTTAGCAAGCTCCCTTCTTTGTTCTCTCCCAATGCCCACCACAAAGAAAAGAGATTCCACATGAGAAGCTGCAGATAAGCACACAGGGCTGGCCCCTGAGGTGCCATTGCTCCCTCTACTATGCAGTGCACTGTGTGTGTGTAACCTCAGAGGGCTCAGCCCAGTCCAGATGCCTGACCCCATGCTTGTGCTCCCCGTCTGGGGACACCTTTGTCCTGGTGCCATGATGTGAGCTCCAGGCTCCTGCACTGCATGCCCGGGTTCTCAGAACAGCATGTCTGTGCCACGTGTCCTCAGCAGAGATGCTGGGACGCCAAGGGAAGCTCGGGCATGAGGTGATACTTACTTCTTATACTAGTCAGCTACATGTGGCCAAAGACGCACCTGTCAAGACACACGTGTGTGTAGGCCCTTACCTGAGAAAGGCCTTCGCTTGTGTCAGGTGAGGGGTGACCAACAAGAAGTCATCTACCAAACGCAAGAGTACCCTGATAGGGAAAGATGCCCGAGAAAGGGCATTAAATACCTGAGTTCACATGCACAAGAACAAAGTAACCTGTGGGACTTGGTACTGGCTGGGGACAGAGGGCTGGGGCCCCACAATCTTGCTAGCACAGCCACTGCCTGGGTCCTCTGGAAATGCCTCACTCCCCATGCACTAGGGAGCCACTCACAGCCTACGTTTGAAGCCAGCTCACTACCTCCCATGAAACCTCCCATGAAGAAAGGGCAGCCCTATCTGCACCAGAGCACAAGAGGGGATGAAAGCAACCAATGACAAGGAGCCTATTACCCGTCCTGCTGAAGCCTGGGGAACACCCTGCTCTCCATGTCTCCGTAGCACAAGCTGCAGAGCAACGTGGACAGGATGGAGCCCTGAGGGACCCCCTGACACTGGACGTAAAACCTGGAGGGAGACATGGGCAGAAGGGTGAAGCACATGTTCATATCACAGACACACATGCAGACCACATAAACGTGCAGGCACACTGCTCAGACCACAAAATCATATGTGTACACCGCACACAAAGAACACAGATCACACACCACCGCTGTCCAGGGGGATGTGAATCAAGATGTCACACCCACCCATAAAGCCCTGCCATGGACTGACACAACCCTCTACCAAGGTAGCAGCAGGCAGCCCTGACTCACTTGCCCCCAATCCTTATGACGTGGTTGTGCACCAGGCGCAGGAAGAAATCGAACAGGCTGCTACTGGCCTCATTCAGAGAACAGCTCTGGAAAAGCAAGTGGGAGATGCACTGGGTGGAAGGACATGCAAACAAGATGTGCAGCGGGGATAAGGGGCAGGTGGTAGCGAACGAGCAGGGCCAGCATGGGTCATCTGTGGCTCAGACCCATGGCCACTGGCCCAGATAGCTTGTGCCACACACTGTGACTACAGCATGTGATGGGGCCCTGGTGGTCAAAGGAAAGGCATCCAGAGGTCTCAGAGCCATAGTTGAAGGACTGGCTCGATCCTAAAACTGGTTGTGCAGAAAGCCACAGACTCAGGAAGTCTCTGCTCACATACAAGAAAAATAGGTTTCCTACCTGATAGGTAAATTCAAGATAGGTCCATAGGTCAAATCCAATGTGTCTTCCTAAAGGAAGGGGACACATTTTCTTTTGTCCTCAAGATCATAACTAAGCAAAATGTCTCTAGCAAATCTTGAAGCAGCTGGACAGTAGCACAGAATTCATCAAGGCAGCAAAAAAAGAAATTTGGCTGAAGGCAGAAGCAAGTGTCTGCAGGCTAAGGAGGTGGTCTCACCGTGTCCACAGCCCTGCCCCCAGCAGTGTGCCGGGTGTCTACCCACACTGACCTGCTCAATGACCACGGCATCCCTCAGTGAGCTTGTCTTCTGCAGTTGCTGCACGAACTGTTTCATGTAAGGCTGGAGGTCTGTGAAGGTGGCCACCTGCCGGTGAAGAGGGCAGAGCATGAGGCAGGTAGATGCCTCCCTCCCTGAGCCCCAGCCTGGACATCGACAAGCAGAAGTCATGTCATGGAAGACTAAGTCAGCATTGGGACAAACCCCAGGGAAGCCCCGCCGTGCAACCTGTGTTCAGGAAAGGGAGAACGGAGATCCTGGGGAGCAGGAGAGTGCTACAAAATCATAGGGACAGGGCCTCCAGTCACCTTCCCCATGACTACTATGCCCACTGATAAAATGCAGATGAAAGTTTCTTGGGGGTGCTGGAGAGGCAGGAAGCAGATGGACTTAGAATCCCAGTCCTGGGTGCATCCCACATTCTCTACCTGAGGTCTGTCTAATCCAGGGAGGTGGAACTTAAGCAGAAAGTGGGGGGCTATGACTGAAGAGAGTTGGAGTCCAGGGCCATTGAAACAGCTAGGATTGAGGGTGAGGTCCTAGGAGGAGGGGCCCCAGATAATGGAGTCAAAACTGTGAGTGATTTCTTCTCCAGTCCTCGCCAACTCCCAGTGTCAGGAGCTCTGGGGAGACTGCTGGAAACCCAGCAGAAGCAGAGCTGGAGCTGAGCCAAGTGTGGTCACAGCAGCCACTTGGGGCTGAGGGGAGCCAGGGCCCACTGAGGGCTGCACACCTGCTCTCAGGCGAGACAGCCGACGGCCACAGCCAGGAAAGGAGCAAAATGAAGGAGACTAGCCCCACACAGTGTAAAGACAACCCTTGTAGGATTAAGGTTGTCCACCACTCCAATCGTCAAGAAAATATTATTCTCTCCAAAGGAAAACATTATGCAAAAACCGATGTTTTAAATTTTTTTACTTAAAAGTCTAGCATCTCATGAAAAGAAATGACAGGCTTGTGTAACCAAACCACAAGTGAAGCAACAGAAACATACATGATCGATCATAGCATCCAATATGGGTGGGTGGCTACTTAGTTATGGAATTTAAAAATCAGTAAAGATGAGTCAATAAAATAGGGGAGAAGATGGGGAATTTTACCAGAGACTTGGAATGTATGAGAAAATTCACATGGGATTACTAGCACTGAAAAATAAGACAACTGGACTTAAGAATTCAGTAAGTGGGTTTAAAGGAGGATTAGAGACAGAAAAAGAGAAGATCAATGAACTGGAAGGCAGGTTCATGAGAAATCTGGATTTAAGCAGAAATAGAGCAGTTTAAAAATACCATACACAAAAATTAATTCAAAATGGACCCTATACCTGAACACAAAAGCTGAAACAATAAAGATCTTGAAAGAAAACATGTAGGAATGTCATGGTGACTCAGGGTCAGGTTTCTCAAACAGAACACAGTTTCAGCCATAAACAATGGATAAAGACTTCTTTAAAATTAAAAACTTCTGGTCATCAAGACTCCACTTGTGAAGAAAAAGGCGAGACACACCTGAGAGAGGACTCGTACCCAAAACATACAAAGATCACCTATAAATCAACAACAAAGGTAGACAGCCTGTCAGAGAGTGGGGAGAGGACTTGAACAGGCATTCATGGGAGAGATGTCCATGTGAAGGGTCATTGGGAATGCAAGTCACGATCATACAAGATGCTGGGCACCCCCTCAAGAAATTCAGGCTACAACCTGAATACTGACACTTGCAAGTGTGTGAGCATGAGCATGCCACTTTGGTGTTCCCATGGCTGTCCCCCAGGAGCCCAGGCCAGGCCTGTGGCTGCACAATGGGGTCGAGTGCTTCATGGCTACTTTGGCACAGCCACTTAGGAACACTCTCTGGTGATGTCTAAGACTAAACAAAGCATGCCTGTGACCTGGCAACTCCACCTCTGAATCCACCACATCACAGTAATGCTTTCAGCAGCATTCAAACCTCCCAATGGGAACCAGCAAAGACCCACAAGCAGCGGAAGGCAGAGCCACACTGTGCAGTGTGGACACAGGAACACGTCCAGGATGGGAGGGATGAAGGGCAGGTGCTCCCGGGTGCCTAGCTCTTTCTCAGATTGGCTAGGGAGCAACGGAAACAAGATGGGAAGATGGGATTCTGTCTGAATCATGGTCACAGAATTTGAGACAGGTAAGAGGGTCTGCACAATGCAGGTCAGACTGGTAGGCACCTGGGGAGAAAGGGGGGACCTTGAGGCTGCTGGTGACTTTCTCTACTTTGATGCAAGTGGTGGCACCATCTGTCCACAAATGTATAGTGCTATACCCTCAGGATTTGCAATCCACACTCACTTGGCTTGCCCAGGGCTTTTCGAGTGTGCTTTCCCCAAGAATTTCTGAGAACTCTTTTTGTACTCTCCTGCCTTCCCCACAGCACAGCTTCTGGGGGCTGGGTGCCCACAAGCTCCAAGATGCTCATGACAATTGCTCAGAAACGCCAATGTGCTAACTGGGTCTCGAATGCAACCTGAACTCCAGATGTCCTTTCTCAGCACCACTGAGGCCTCAGGCCCCTGGCCGCTGTGAGGAAGGGCACCCTCGGACCCTCAGCCCCACCGCAAAGGCAGAACCACTCAGTGAGCAAAGCCCAAGTGTCTTGGGCAAGGTGCCCTCTGGCCCTCTCCTCACAGAACCAGCACAGTCCCAGCCATAAAGCACTTGGCCCCACTGTGTGCCATGGGCTAGGCTTGGGCTCCTGAGGGGCAGCCATGGGGACACTAAAGAAACATATGCTTGGCTCTGCTGCCACCTCCTCAAACTCAGGGGTCCTGTGAAGGGACAGCATGCAGGAGTGGCTTGAAGAGAGGACTGAATGTGACATGAACAAAAGTATGAAGATGACAAGGACGGAGGCACCTCCAAGCAGTGGGAGCACAGGAAGTGCTTCTCAGCACACACGGGGGAGGGCCAGACCGCAGGGGCAAACACATGCCAGACCACAGGTGTCACACTCATGTCACACCTCCTCATGGCACACACCCATGGGTCTCACATGTCTTTTGAAGGACTTCCGGACGTGTCCATGGGCAGTTCTCTGGACCACGGCGTACTGGCGCAGGCAGTATGTGTGCTCTTGGGGCTTGATTATGTTGGCAATCACCTCCACCAGCCTGTCCTGAGGGAGGGCATCATAAGCACCCATCACGTCCACCTATGTAGATGGGATGCATTTACAGGCCGCTCATACTTACCTTGGCCCCCATGTCCTGGGTCCTACCCCTTCTGCCCTGCTGAGCTGAGACCCCAGCCTGCCCTTAGAAAGCTCTGGGGTGATTGGACACAGTAGGACCAGGGAGCCCCTGAACACCCTTTCCAGAGCCCTGTCCCAGTCACACATACCCACCCCACTGTGGGGCTCTTGCTGAGATGCCCCTACATCCCCCAGACTCTGAGTACCCCAGGGTGGCTCTGGGTCCCTCTCTCCACACCCAGACTATGACACTCTAGGGTGGGCCTATACTCTCTGAGTACAAGCTGATGAGCAGAGGTCCCTGGCGGATGACCCAGGCACTAGGGCCCCTGGCACTCTGAGCTGAGCCACGCGTGCTACCTTCTCAGGTGATCCCCCAATACCCTGAGCAAGTGGCAGTGTCATATTCTCCCCAAGATAAGGGCCCTTGTGGAGTTGGGGTACAGAACTGCAGAGTCCATGCCAGCAAGGAAAACTCAAAGTTTCTGCCCCAGGGAGCCAGGTGCTACCAAATGGAGCCGGGGTCACCTGCCTTCCCTGCTCCCAAAAGTCTGCAGCTCCACCATAGGCACCTCACCCTGGCAGACAGAGGCCCTGAAAAAGCCAGCCACACCCCACATCCTGCCCAGGGCCCACGATGCAGAGTCACTTGGTAGGTGAACCTGAGGGTGCTGAGTGAGCTCATTGGGGCAGGGGGCACCCACCTTGACAAAGTACAGCTGAGGCACTGGGTCCTGGGCTCGCATGCGCAGCACAAAGGCATGCCAGGCCCTATAGATGTCATCCATGCCCAGCACAGAGGCGCCCAGGAGGTCAGGGCGCCGCACACGCTCATAGTTCAGCACACTGAATAGTGTTTTGACTTTCGAGGTGAGATGCTGTACCTGCAGGGCCAGTCCAGGATGGTGGCATAGTCACAGGATGCCCCCAGCCAAGAGGCGCGGGGCCCAATGGCCCCCACCCTACCTATGGGGACCAGTGATGACAGGCAGCTCTGCTTCTGCACCCCCCTGCCCACCCAGCTTCCCTCACATGAAAGGGCCAGATAGCTGACTCCAGGGCATCCCCGGACACCCACCCTGGAATCTCAGAAACAAGGTACAGAAAACTGCCAAGTAGCTACATGCAGGACCATCTCTCCCACCTGGCCCCCACCCCACCCCAGATGAGTTCTTGACTCACAGACCAAACCAGATCCCTAATCCACATCAATAGCTTCCCTTTCTTTTGGGGGGCAGCACCAATAACAACAAAAACACTACAGGGAGGCACTCTGAAGGGGTCAAAATTGCTGGTGACACAGAGATACCATTGGTGGAAGGGGATGCTAACCACAGGGTGGGTGGGGGCAGTCCGACAAGGTCTGGGAACCTGAAGGCTAAATGGCCCAGTCCTTTCCATCCCTGCATCTCGGAGAGCGTGCACCCCCCGTGCTACGGCAGGACCATGGGCGCTGTGTCAGTCCCTCGTGTCACGGGTCCATGTCTTGAGAACCTTGTGGGTTCTCAGAGCCTGTGTAGCAGCTTCTAGGGCTGGCCTTCCTGCAAGCTCCTTCTCCGGACCCAGGAACACGGCTCATCCATGGGGCTCTGCCCACCTCACTGTGGCCCCTTGGAATTGTCTCACTAGACACCAAGCCTGGGGTTTAATGCAGTTTGCTTAAAAAATCAAACAAAGTGACCTTCTTGTCCCTGTGGAATGTCCTGGCTCCCACGACATAGTCCATGTTCACGATTGGCCGCAGCCCACTGGGCTTGGGGAGGAAGCGGAGTCTGGACATCAGCAGAGCGGGTCTGGTTTCCTGATGCCGCTTGACCTCAGCTGCCGACAGTTCTCGAAGCTGCACCCTATTGAAGTGTTGTCTGAAACAGAGAGCCTCATGGGACATGGCTCAGCAGCCACACAAGAACCCAGGTGTGTCAAACTGTGGAGACACCTGTGCCCATGAGGCTGACACACTCACTAGATGCTGCTGGAGTGCCCTCCGTGGCAGGTGCCCTGGACACCAGGTTCCTTATGGTACAGAGCCCTGGGTAGTGTAGGCTGGGACTGGACAGGACCCCTGGGAGAAAGACCCCATGTTCTGCCACTTGGAATGTGCAAGGCGGCTACTTGGTGTAACCCCACAGGGTCAGAATTGTCTCCCTAGGGAACCCCCAGCTCCCTGTCGGCCTCTGCCCTGACACCCACTCACGAAGGGGCAGAGGCTGAGAATGCTCCCTGGGTTGTGGCCCTGGCAGTGAAGGGAGGCTGGAGAGCACAGCCCATCACAGATCTTGAATGTCCAACAGGCAGGGTGATGGTTCCCACGGTGGGGATATAAGTGATCACGTCCTGCAAGTTCCTTCTCTGGACCCAAGAACATGACCCATCCATGGCACTCTGCCCACCTCACTGTGGCCCTTTGGAGTTGTCTCACCAGACACCAAGCCTGAGGTTTAATGCTGTTTGCTTAAAAAAATGAAACAAAGGAAGTGACCTTCTTGTCCCTGTGGAATTTCCTGGCTCCCACGATCATATACCATGAATTTTTAAATTATTAAACAGGATGTACTGTGTATCAACTCAGACCTATGATAAAGGATTCCAGACCCTCTCCCAGGAGCAGGACTGGGACTGGGCCTCTGGTTCAGGAGTTGCCACTTCCCTTCAGAGACATATGGCTCAGGCTTGGGTTTGATTCAAATGTGCATAGAGCCTGGGAACCCTGATCTGGCCACTTTAGGGTCTTCGCCAAGCCTTCTGAGGTCATGAGACGCCTTGGCCAGGTTGGTCACAGAGAGGAGGAGGGCTTAACCAGCTTACATCTGCCACAATCCTGCACAATGTACCCAAAACTGCCCACTGGGAAGCTAAGACAAATCTACTCAGAGGCAAGTCATCCTTCTGGAAGTTTCTGCCTCAGGATCCTACCTCACAGTGGGCACCTCTGTCCCCAGACACTTCCCACAGTGAGTTGTCAAGTAGGTGGGTTTCATTTTCTTGTGACACAAGTCCCAATTACTCTGTGCAAACTAAAAGAGAATCTGACCACACACCAGGGATAAGTGGTTTGCTTGCACCATTGTTCCTGCCTTTGAGACCCTAGAGATCACCTAGCTCAAACCCCTGATCTACAGGTGAGGAAAGAGGACCTCCAGGAGTCCATGCCAGTACAAGACCCCTATGGGTCAGGACGGCCCCTAGAGTAGCTGGCTGAGGGGCCCCGAGGTGCGGGACACAGGGAACCTGTAGCAGGAACTAGAGCTGCATCTGCAGATGGGAAGAAAGGGAAGAAACAGGTCACGCGACGCTCTGACTATAATACCTGATCCCAATGCTTTGCAACTGGCTCCAGACACTCTTCCGGAAGAAGAAGAGCTGGTTCTTCTGAAACGTGGTCTCCGTGACATAAAAAAAAGACCGTAGCAGCTCAACCACGTATGTGCCCATCAACCAGCATAGGAACTTGGCCAGGACAGCTTCTCTCAGACAGTGTTCAGCAGCCGGGACACAGCGACCCCCTGGAATGAGAGGCACATGCTCACCCCACCTGCATGCCCATCACAGCAGCCACAGGCCACTTGAAATAGCAGATCTGGACTACTGACACTGCACATGCGCCCCACACGCTAGGTCTCATGGACTTGGGCAGAGAAAGAAGGTGGTGCACCTCATCAATGATGCCTCTACTGACTCACTACATGTTGGAGTGGCAACATTTCCAATATATTGGCCTTTAATAAAGTGTATTGTTGAGTTAGTTTTACCATTCCTTTTTTACCTTTTTAACGTAGCTACTAGGACATTTTAAATCATGCACATGGCTCACGTTTTATTTCTATTGGGCAGTGATGGTGTGAAGTGTCACCACCTGTCTTGCTGTACCAGCAGAATGGAGAATGCAGAGACGAGCTCTCCCCATGGGACAGCTGGGTGTTGATTTGTATGATTTCAGGCATCCTCATTGAGCAGCAAGATCCAGAAATGCCTGGGGTTCTCCAGGCTGGACAACCCGGTGAGTGGTGGCAGTCACACGCCAGCTAAGGGAAGCCACATGCTGCTGGGCTCCAAACGCGCACCAAGATGCTGTCCTCCTCTGTGGTCCTCTGCAGTTTGTTCTATGAAACATTGTGGGAAGAGGTCCACAAGTATCACCCATTTGCCACAAGGGCCACGGCACAGATAGAAACATGTAAAGGAGAAGAAAAGGGACCCAGAGGCAGGTCTGGGACAGAAGACAGGAGGGGAAATGAAGGGGTGAGGAGGAAGCTAAATACACATTAACCATAGGAAACAATAATAGTGTCTAATTTGGGACATAATCAGGCTAGTGGGAGAACAGCATACAAGTTGGGGTGGGAACCAGATTAAAATATGCTCAGGCCCTTATGTTGCTCAGGAGAAGGGAAACCACTATGAGAAGAGAATAGAGAATATAATTCCAAGCTACCGGAAGGCAAAACCAGAGTGAAAACACACTCAGTCAGGACACGAGGACAAAGGGCATGAAAAGGTAGGGAAAAACTGAACAGAAAAATGGAAGAAAAACATGCAGACACACCTGTAATTACAGAAAAATTAAAACAAACCAGATTCTCCAGGAAAGTGGCAAAGATTATCACACTGGATCGAAAATAAGCTTAAAATGTCAGTGATATGCTATTAATAAAACACATCTAAATTATGTAGATATGAAAAGGCTGAAATAAAAATTAAAGAATGACAAATGATGTAAGAGGTAAACACAAACCAAAAGGAAGCCCGTGCAGGTGTTCTCTAAGGCGTTAAAACAGACCCTAAGGTAAAAAGAATTAGTAGCTGCACATAAGGAAGATAAAACTTCTCAAACGTGCATGTGCCTAATAAAACAACCATGCAAACACTGTCAGAACAGGAGGAGCCAGACAAACTGCCCACGTGAGGTAAGCACTCGGCCGTGGGAAGGACACAGTTTCTCATAGCACATAACAAGCCTGCTACAGTAAACACAGACACCAACCAGGCCTCCAGGACACAAGGAACACTGGTGAAGACTGTCTATGCACAAGATTACAAAGCCAGTTCACATAGCTGGGGTCCCTCAGGCCACTACACACCTGAGCTGGAAATCAGTAACAAAAAGATAACTTAAAATATCCACATATCTGGAAAATCTAAAATATATGTTTAAAAAACTCACTGCAGGGGTGGGGGGATGTGCAGGGTGGAGGGGATCAATGAGGGAAAAAGGGGATATCTGTAATACTTTCAACAATAAAGATAAATTAAAAGAACAACAACACGCTGATCAAAGAAGAAATGCCAGAAAAAACCTCAAAATACTTAAACGCAGTTGATATAAAAACGTGAGCAACATATCAGAACACAGGCCCAGCTGGGCAGGACCGAAGGGAACGCACAGCCATACACCCACCTGAGAGGTCAGAGGATGACACAACAAACCTGAGAGCAGAGGAAGGATAAAACCATTAGAAAAACTAATGTAATTCAAAACAAAGGCCCAGTAAAGGCCCCACGCAGACTCCTCTCTGAAAGCAAAGGCAGCCTCCATAGGAGGGACACACTGGGGATGGCAATTCAGGAAAAGTGATCTGGTCGGATGTGAGCTGGAGGCAGAGCACAACCTAAACCAGCAGCAGTGTATGCCCAGGTTAGGGGCCAGGGGTTGCCACCAGCCCAAGGATGAGCAAGCCCAGGGAGAGGCAGCGAGTAAGCCAGCAGGGAGCGATGGCAGCGCCTGAGTTTCCATCAGGAATCTATCTTGCGATGTCTCTAGCAACGCTGCAGCAGATGCGGTCAGCTGGCAGTCTGGCCTCGGAGGCTGGGGACCAGAGAGCCCACGGGAGTCAATGGGCAGCATGGCAGGTGGGACAATGGTCAAGGCTGGCTAGACAAAAGCAAAGGAGCCCAGATGCTGTTGATGGAACACCTGGCAGGACAGAGGAAGGGACGTCCTAGCAGGATAGGGTGGAAGAGGTGACCACGGATAGCCGTGATCAGAAGAGGTGGCTCAGAGACCAAGACTGTCCTGTGCATCATTTATTCAGCCAGGAGACAACTGGCATGGTCCAACCAAGGAAAACAGCAAATGCCTAGGGTACAGCTTGAGCGAACAAAGACGCTGCAGAGGTCAGTTGCCTGGAAAAACACCACCATGGAGTCACGCCTTGTTGGAAATTGGGGAACAGGATCACAGAAGTCAAACTCTTTTTACAGGCAAGCTGAACCCCCGAGTCGTGTGACAGCTAACTGAACTGAGCCTGCTGCATTTGAGAGTCACCCACACTGCCCCACATGGTCTGTTGGTGTATGAGTCACACAGTATTAACAAGTTCTGGAAATATGCTGTGCAGTTCTGCTTATACTCAGCACTGTTGTCCTGTACATGCAAACAGCGGTTAAGACATACATTTAATGTTATGTGGTATTTCCCACAATTAAAAAGAAACAAACCAAAAAACAAGTTACTGGAAGGGCATTTGCTGTCTGAATCACCTGGCCCTGAGGTCTCTTGTTAGTCTGAGAGGGTGTGCCCCTTTGCCTTCCTGTGGGACACCACTGCAATTGGGATCTTGGGGGATGAGAATGGGCATTTTTAAGACCCCTACCACAGGAGGCTATCATGTGCATTTGGGTGGGCAAGACTGGCTGTAATAGAGGGCTCTGAACCATCCTTGTTCTAAAATCTTAAATGTCTTGGGAGTTGGGGGAGGTCAAACATAGCATAACTTGGGTCTATTCTTACCACCACTCCTCTACCAGGGGGAACAGGGAGGGTGGCTAGTCCTGTCCACTCCTGGTGCTGGTGAACAAACAAGGAGGATGCTGGCCAAGAGGAGGCTGAGTGGTGGCTGGACTGGAGGAACCTCATCATTAATCCCAGAAAACCAAAGGGCCTGGGGGGAGAGACACCACAGGCCAGCTTGACAGAAAACTTCCTGCAAGCACCCATTGCAATAATCCACCTTCCCTGACACAGGAGTGTCCTGCTGCTCCCTCTGCTTCCTCATGACGCTTTCCTTCCTAAAGATGGGCTAGGGTCCTTGTGCAAGAGACAGTCTTTTCACTTATCTAGCTGCCCTGCCCTAGCATAGCAACTGTACCATTAAAACTTAAATTTGAACCCTCCAGCAAAGTGGGTTCTACTCCCAACCTGTTTCTTTCAGCGGGGCATTATTTCATGGTGATAAACATGAATGCCAAAAAAGGGATTATGAATTAACATTCTGGGCAGAGCTTCTGGATGCTTCCATCCTGTTGCCATAGCCCTATTCCATCTGCTCACTGCCCGTCTCCAGCACCCAGAACCTGCCTGAATCCATGAAAGTCTTGCAGGTTGATGCAAACTGGGTGGGAGAGGGGATCAGAGGCAGAGAAACCAGACAGAACCACCCAGCAGTAGCAAGAAGCCAGGTGTGTGGGGGTAGGGGAAGGAAGGGCCTGCAGGGCCATGGCCGATTATGGGGCCATGGCATCCACCTCCTCACCTGGGCTACGGCACAGCCAGGTGCAATCCTGCACTTTCATCTTCCAGGTCAGTTCCTGACTCAAGAGCTTGGAGTACTTCCCCAGAGAGATGAGCTTCTTCACGTTCTTCAAGAAGCGGCGCTCATTGTGCCTGGAGCCCCAGAGGCCTGCGGGCACCAGCCTGCGAAGACACGCCCTCAGGAGCCCATACACGTGCCTAGGGCTGCTGTGCTGGTGGAGCAGCTGGACCAGGTCCTCTTCCGGGGCGCAGACACCCACTCCACTGCACCCCTTGTCGCTGGATCCCCCCACGGCCTCCACTGGGGTGGCGGCGGCCCGCAGTGGGCAGTGCTTCCTGAGCAGCCTGCCGTAGGGGCACCGCGCGTGGTTCCCAAGCAGCTCCCGGAACAAGGGCCTCATCCGCCAGTAGCGCGTGGGCAGGCGGCGCGCACTGCGGGGAGCCCCCGGCTGCAGGGCCTTCGAATCCAGAAAGATGGTTTCCACTAGTCTCCGGGCCCCCGTCAGGCTGGGCTTCAGGCAGTTGAGTAGGAAGGAGGAGCGCAGTCGTTCCTTGCCACCCGAGCAGTAGAGAAACTGCTTGGTCTCAACGACCACTCTGGGACCAAGAGCGGCCTGGGGACGTGACCACCCAGAGGAAGGGCAGCCGGCCTCACGCTCACGGCCCGGCAATGGTAAGGGACACCTGGTCCTGTGCGGCTCACTCTCCCCAGACAAGGCTTCCACGGCAGCTCCCACAGGTGTCACCGCGGGGGGGTCGCCAGCACTTGGCCTCCGGGCCGGCTCCGGGATCAGGCCGGGCCTGGGCCTCTTGGCCTGAGGTGGAGTTCCCCCCACGCTGCTCCGCCGTCGCCTCGAGCGGCAGCCGGGGGGTACCCTAGCCTCCCCGCCTCCTCCATTCCAGGCCTGGCGCGTGGGTCTGAGGCCCACCAGGGTCCCGCCAGCTTGTCTTGTGGTGCAGAGGTCGTAGAGTGGTGGCCCGCACACCTGGTAGGCGCAGTTGGGGGCCACCAGCAGGTAGAGCGCACAGCGTGCCAGCAGGTGGGTGAGCACGTCGTCGCCCACGCGGTGCAGCAGCAGCCCCCACGCGCCACTGCCACGCAACGTCTCCGTCACCGTGTTGGGCAAGTAGCTGCGCACATTGGTCGTAAAGGCCACAGGCGGGCCGCCGCGCGCCCCGTCCAGTAGCGCGAAGCCGAAGGCCAACACGTTCCTCGCGCCGCGCTCGCAGAACCTCTGCACGACCCTGGCCACCAGCTCCTTCAAGCAGGACACCTGCGGGAGAGGGGTCTCGAGTGGCTAGGTACGGGGGTGCCCGGGGGGCGGTGGGCAGCGGCGTCCGGCCTTATTCCCCATGGCCCTCACCCCACCCCGCAGGCCTGACCAGGGTCCCCGGGGAGCCCACCTGGCGGAAGTCCGGGGCGGCGGGGGGAGGCTGCGCGTCCCAGGGCACGCACACCAGGCACTGGGCCACCAGCGCGCGAAAGGCCTTCGGGTCCCCGCGCTGCACCAGGCGCCGGCCCTGGGGACCCAGACGCCGCACGAAGGCGTCCAGCGGCAGCACCTCGCGGTAGCGGTCCCGGAGCAGGGCGCGCACAGCGCGGCACCGGGGCGCGCGCGGCATCGCTGGAGGTGGGCTGGGTTCCCACGTGCAGGGACCCAGTGTAACCGCGCAGCGCTGCAAGG